AGAGGATGCCTGGGAGAGAGAGAGGAAGAAAGAGGTTTCTGATGAGGTTTTGCTGTGCATTGATAATTTACTATCCCACTGGTGGTGTTAAGGGTATGCTAAGGGTCAAGACTAGAGTCACTTTTAGTTATTTTGTGGTTGCTGGACTGTTGTTTCTTTGGGAGGGATTGGCTGGGCATTGAACATGGCTTTGGGTTTCATCAGGAACATGTATTTAATGAGAGGCCTTGAGAATGGGGTCAAGTGCAGTTCATGTGGCCCATGAGTTGCTCTAGAGTCTTGTCTCCTTTATGATGGCCTCTGTCCTAGCCTTGCTCCAGGCTTGACTGTAGAGGCTTGTCATGTGTGTCTGTGGGACGAGGGGACAGGAAGCTTTGGTGGTCCCTCTTCTCACAGGGAATGTGGGGAGAGGCTCTTCAGTATTCGAGTGAGAGCCCCAGTGTCCTGGCTTTGGCTTGTGACAGCTGCCAATGGGATCTTTGCACAGATGAGTTGGGCATTTGGGCTGACAAGGAGGGGCATGTCTGCAGAAGTGAGACCAACTTCCTAGAAAAAGTAAGTTGGAAAAAATGTCTCCAAAGACTCCTAACCTTTCTTCCTGTAGAGACGAAGGCTTGGCTTCTGAGCATCACACACGGGGCTTTGAATGGCTAAGCCCCAGGTTCCCCTGCCCATCCCAGGCTAGGGAAAGAAGTGATAAGAGAAAACCCACAGGCGGAACTGAACAGGCAGGGACAGTCATGGGGAGGGCCATTTGGGGCCAAGAGGAGGAGGGAGAGGAGGAGCCATCTTCATCCGTAGCACTCTTAAACAGGGAGCACATGGTCTGCCAGAGGACTCCCCACTTCTTCCAGACATGAAGCCATAAGTGCAATCTTGCTTCCCCAAACCAAAAGTCTACACGTAAAGGGAAACCAGGTGGACGTGACAGCAGAGACTGCAGGACTGGAGCCCTCTCTCCTCGCACCTCTACATTGAGTTAGAACAGGAACCATTCATGTAGTGCATGGGATATTCACCCCGGACAGATGTTTTCGGGGTCAGAGCAAGACTAGGTGAGGTAAAGGTGGCTTCAAGTGGTGGGAAGAGCTTGGTAATGTGAGTTGACACTCCCAAATTCTGTTCCCTGGAACCTGGGGTTTTTTTCTTGAAAATGCCCAGAATATGTGTAAAGCAGTTTCTCAGCCTCAGCACTGCTGACATTTGGAGTCCGAGTCTCCCTCATGCGGAGCTGTCCTGTGCGCTGCACGATGTCTAGCAGCATCCCTAGCCTGCACCCACTAGATGCCAGGAGTGCCCATGGCATGACAGCGAAAGATGTCTCCAGGCATTGCCAAGTGCACCTTTGGAAACAAAACCACCCCTGTTTGAGAACTTCTAGTCTACATTAAGTCAAGCACTCGTGTGCTTCCTAGTCCAGTACCCCACAATGTTTTTTGAGAATCAAGGGTGAGGTTATCATTTAGGCTCATTTCTCACAACAGGCAAATAGGGATATAAAATGGTAATTGCTAAGCCCTTTCTGCTCTAAAAATCTGTGTCTCTAAGACGAGATCTACTTTACTGCCTTTGAGGCTGGGTAGAGAGCAAGGGAGGGTGTCTGGTGGGTGTGAGAAGAAGTCACAACCTGTGAAGATGGTCAGTGCTAACACTGCTATGGAGGGAAGCTCATTGCCTGTTCCCTACCCAGCCAGCTCCATGGCCTGCTGCCTTCCTGGTGCCTCCCCTGACTTTCAATAGCCTCTTTTTTAAGCTTAACACAGTTGATCCTCCCACCTGGCTCCCAGACTTGCCTTCTCTGAGTCTTCCCATCTCAGTGGATGACAACTCTATACTAGTTGTTGGGGCCCAAATCTTGGAAATCACGGATGCCTCCTCTCTTTCCCTTGCATTCCACATCTATCCTATCAGCAAATCCTGGTGGCTTCAGAACTGATCCAGGACCCATGCACTTCTTAATCCCTGCTCTTCTCCCACGCTGGTCCAAGCCACAGTCATCTCCTCACCCGTGGTTTCCTAGGTGGTCTTCCTCCTTCCATCCTTGTCCTCCTATGGCCTGTTATGAACACATCAACCAAAGGCTCCTGTGGAGACGTGTGATCACAGCACTCTTTTACTCAAAATCTTCCACTTAGAGTAAAAGCCGCACTTACTATGACCTCCTACCCACTATGTGATTTGCCCCAGTCCCCCTTGCCTCACCCATTCCACTTCAGCCACCCTTGTTTCCTTTATGCTCACTGAACACACCAGGCATATTCCTACCTCAGGGCCTTTGCACCAGCTGGTCCCTCTGCTTAGAGAGCTTTCCCTCCAGATGCCACATGACCCTCACTTTTTCAAGTTACAGTTCAATGAAACATTCTCATTGAGGCTGCTCTGACCACTCCTTTTAAAATTATATGCCAACCCCCCATTCCTGAGCCCTCATATCCTGCTTTTTTCTCCTCATGGAACTTAACACGTTCTAGTTATTTATTGTGCTTGTTCTCTTTACTGATGTAGTCTCTGTGTCCAGTACAGTGCCTGGCACAGGGCAGACTCTCAGTGAATATTTGTTGAATGAATGAATGAATGACCCTCAGTTTTGTTTTCCCCTTTCTTTAAATCTTCAATTCTTTTGCTAACTCAAAGAGGGGAATATTTGGGGAAAGAATGGAGACAAAGATATGGATGAGGGTTAAGTCTTTGGAAAAATGAACTATTAGCTAGTCTGGTCACCCATTATCTAGACAAATTAAAGAAGTAATGCAGAAAATCCTAAAATACAGATAGTCCAGTAAAAATTTCTATTTTGATTGCATTATATGATGTTAATGTTGACTCTTTCTTAATTATTTTTTCTTAAGGTAGTAGCATGAATATCAGCTCTGGGTGTGTGTTTCTGTGTGTGTATACATGTACACATGCACAAGATGTAGGTGAACTGGAAAATTACCTAAAATAATTCAGAAACTGGATGCTTTCATTCCCACAAATACTTAATACATTTCATGCACAAGACTTGCTAGGTATTAAGTTCAAAGACTTCCATGTGGATCCTCTTTTCCAAGAGCACAAGGAAACCAAGAGCTCATTGAAAATTGACCAGATCTTGAGCTGTCTAGGTGTGTGGGTTCTATGGGCATCATGGTTGGGTTGTTGCCTCCTAGACTTCCAACCCAATCATTTTTGTGGAGCAGCTAGACTGATGAGTGGAACTGGTCCCACCTCATAGTGGTCACAGTGATCCATTATGGGATAGGCACAAAAGCCATTGGGATTCACAATGAAGATCAGATATTTTCCATGGTTGTAAGAAGGGATTTTTTTCCCTCTCCCTGTGATGTGAAATAAAAAGCTGGCAGCCTTCTTGCTACAATGAAAGAGGCTAGTTTAAAGACAAAGCATACATACAGAAGAGGGCAGAACTGAGAGAATCAAAGAAGTAGAGCCAGAGCCCTATTGACTTTGTGAACCTCTGGATCAAACCCTGCCTGATGCCTGAGCCACTTCTAGACTTCACATATATCCAAGACAGTAAGTCCAGGAAGCTTGTATAAGCTGGGGGTGTTTTTTTCACTTGCAACAAAAGGCATCCTGATATAGTCTTCTTTCATGTTTTTCAGGCCCTCCCTTCTGCCTCTCACAGGTCCTGAGCGTGCCCTGTTACAACACGTGGGCTCCCTGTGCTGTCTGCATTATGTGCATACGTATACAGATGCATTTCAAAATCCTAGGGCGACAAATTGTTTTTAGTTCAGATATACCTAAGGTTCCATTTCTCTGACATTAATGAAAATAGAGGGCTTCAGCATTCATATTAAAAGCCTGAAAAGAAGTAGAAGGGGTTCTTGGACCTGTACCTCACGGCTCAAGTTCCATTCTTGACTTTTGCTGCTGGATACACATTTTAACGCCCACTTGAATCCCCAGAGAACCCTGAGGTGGAGCTGCCTCTCCCGATGGGCTCTCCTGGCATCAGCCCTGAGACCTGAGGGCAGTGCTGTCCAGGGGACAGCCAGCCAGGAAAGATAATGTGTGAAGAAACTCTCCAATAGGCCGTTCCTTATTTATTAGATTCCAGATACACGGGGCCAGGACGGAAAAATCCTAGGGCATTTGGGAGAACACGTACAGAGGTGGGAGTGCGTACAGGGAGGTGATGCAACGAGGGACCGCCATTTAAAAAACATATACATCTGAAGAAGCCATTCCAGCCGTATCATCATTATCAGAAAATAAAACAATCTCCACATAGTGCTTTTCTTTGGTGCTCTTCCGCGGGCATGGGCCCCTGTCTTCTTGCCGCAAGTTTGTCACTCCTTCCCCTCGCCACAACCCCCTCCACCTTCCCCCATCTGTGCGGGGGGGGTGGGGTGGTGGGGAGTCTGAAGGGAAGGGTGGTCCCCGATGCAGGGGTGCGTGCAGTCTGGCTCCTCTAAGGCCCTGTGATGCCTCCCCACCCAGCTTCCTGCTCTGGTCTTGAGCGCTTCCTACTTGGTTCTTAAACTGTGCCCTGGAAAATCACTGAAGTTTTCTGTATGCAAAAAGTGGGAGCCACTATCAAGGTTCACGTGTGGCAAAACCAGTCCAGAATCTTTAGAAAGGGTGGGGATACAGGGAGCAAACAAAACCCAGCCAATACCACCTTCTCCGTGGTTGGATTTTTTTCATTTTATTTCTTGGTTCATTTCAATGACCTGTATCATGAGTACAACTGAAAAGGGCTATTTCCTCTTTACAGAGTTCCCAGGAACAGCAGATTTGGGGGATAAACTTCATTTCTGTTCTGTCTGGGTTCGGGGAACAGGGTGTCCTAAATTCTCCTCACTCCATCCCCTACTAAGTCAGGGCCCTCCTCTTTTCAGGGAGTTCCCAAAGCTGGCTAGGTTTCCAACTAAGTTGGCCCCTAAATTTCCCTGAATGTCAAAGAGTCCATCACGTACATACCAGGGCCATTCCCACTGGACAGCATTCCCATGGTTACTGATACATTTCCTGCTGCCATTGGAGTTTTTAAAGCAGCAGAAGTAGCAGCATCCATCTCACTGGCACCAAGCCATCAGGACCACCGCCCCCTCCCTGCTGTAAATGGGCTCTAATGCTGGGTCACCTGCCCTAGATCCAGCGAGACAAAGCTATTCTGGGTACCGAACACCCACTCACTGCAAACCAGTTGCACTGTTAGCTGAAGGTGCTTTTCCTGAAAAAGGTGGACTGCAAAGGTCAGCTGTGCACAAGCCCCTGGCGTGGCTGACAGCTCGGATCCTCATGCTTGAGCAGGAAGTCACACTGCAGAGAACCAGGTGCCCAGATGATGAGATGCGACCCTTTTCCCCCACTTCCTCAAGCACATAGCATAATGAGAGAATAGGGGAGGCTCCTGCAGAGTGGACCCCAAGTTCTCTCACTGTGTGATCTCTCTGGTCCAGACTTCAGGGCACGGCCCCTAACGGTTAAGTTAGGCTTGGGTTTTATCCCTGGTCCCTTAGAGGTGCCTATGCATCCATCCACCCAGATTGGAAACTGCACAAAGAGCTAGGGCTGAAGCATCCCGGATCATCCCAGTGCTGACTGTGGCCTTGAAGTCCCTGCAGGCAAAAGGGAGGAGGGCACACCTCACTGGTCTGTGATATCTCTTGAAATCCCTGACATTTTCTACGTGAAGATATTCAAGAGCAGACACTGGGAACCCTCCTGCCTAGGGTGACCTGAACATGTCTCAGCATGAACCTTCAGGAGGAGCGGTGTCTGGGAGAGGAGACGTGGAGCCAGCAGTAGCCACTTCCCTGGGAATAGCTGGGAGTTGTGGGAGAGGGCACATGGCCTCCTGGTCCTAGTGACGGGTCGGGGGGATCTGCTTGCCTCTCGGGGTGGAAAAAGGTCGGGTTAGAACAGGTGTAGATTCCCGAGGAATGTGTCCCAGGTGGGGTTGGTCTGATCCCTGCTTTAGAGGGCAGCTGATTGGAAGGAGCATTTTCCATCACACTCGATGCCCCTTCATCCTCGGGAGATCCTCTAAGCTGCCGTCAGTCAGCCCTGTGAGCACCAGATGGGTTGTTCAGGGCTGTCCCCCTCCCCCAGTGTGTTGTAATGGACTTTCATGGCCACTCACAGACATGCATGACCCACTGTCCCCATTTGGCCAGGACTGAGGGGTTTCCTTGGAAATGGAACTTTCAGTGCTATAACCAGTCCTGGGCAAACCGGGGTGGCTGTCACCTTACATAACAGCCAGGACTGGAGGGGATGGGGGGTGTCCCATCAGAAAGCTGGGCCTCAATGTGCCCAGGGAGCTGGGCCACACCTCCTTAGTCCAAGGGTGGCAGGAGCAGCAAGGGTGGCAGAAGCAACCGCTCCTGTGACACTGACTCATCCAGCCCTTTGGAATGCGGGGGAGGGGCGTCCTGGTACCCACTGCCCTGGATGCCAGGAAAGATCAGGCAGGCTGGTGACCTCCACTAAGGCCCTGTCTTCAGGGTTCCCCTGCCTGTTCATCTCTGCTTCTGGACCTTTCTGTGCTCAGCAAAGATTGGTTTGGGCCTCTCCCTATCCTGCCCTGGTCCTCCAGGACTGCCAGTCTAGAATTAGTGCCAGGGTGCCCTCAGACAGGGCCAGGCCACTGCATATCCCCTACTTCCCACAGGCCCACCTGCTCTGGACCTGCGGGGAAGGATGATGGGGGTGGGCGGGGGGAAGCAGCAAGCAGAAGTGGGGCACTGGAGTCTTCCTGGACCCTGCTCTTCTTGGAGCCGGCAAGTCCCCAGCTATGGCCCTGAGGTCATCTTGGCTGGCTGAGCCCACTGCGGGAGAGAACTCAGGAGGTACGGCAGGAAGTATTAGCAGGACTCCTGGGAGATGAGGGGGGATGACAGGCTGGCCCTGGCACACGAGTGAAGAGCAGAGCAGGTGGGGGTGCACAGAGGGATGCGGGGCCCAGGAAACCGCATGCGCTCTGGCAACTACTCTCTTGATGTGAGCCTGGGCCGGGAGCTGAGAGAAAGGAAGGTGGGAGGGAGGGAGGGAGAGAGCATCTGGACTGTGGAAGGTGTAGGGCCTCTTGAGGGGCCCCACAGAACCCCAGAGTAGGCAGGGGCTCTGGAAGAAAGCACCTGCCATCTGGGAAAGGAAAACCTCCGTCAGGTACCCCACCTGAGTGTGCCAGAGTCCTGGGCGCTGAGCACTGCCCACCCCTGCACCATGGGCAGAGGAATGGGGGGCAGCATGGGGTTAGGAAAGGTGTGTGCTGCCTCTTGGTAATTTGGTGGGAAGAGGGGGCATTTCCTCAGCGGTCCCAAGCCACTTGGGAGTCAGCCCTGGCCCAGGCCTCAGCACTGCCTGTGGCTAGGAAAAACATACCAAAGAAAAAGCCAGTTACAGATGAGCCCGCACCCTGCCCTCCCATGCCCGTTCCCCCGCCCCACAGCACCCAGGACTCTGCACACAGCTGGGAGGCGAAGTCCCTTTCTCTGGGACTGCTCGTGGCCATGATACAGGACTTGAACGTTGAGGCTGGTGGCTGTGGAGGTCTCTGCGTCGGTCCATCCGTTTGTCTGTCCTCGGGCGGGAGTCGGTCCGCGCGTGCCAGGCCCTCAGACCTTGGCCTCCAGCATCTCCAGGAAGAGTTTGTGCATGGGCACCTTGCCCTGCAGTTTGATGCTGTAGAAGTGCTGCACGGCCTTGGCAGCCGTCTGCCGAAGCAGGGGCAGCGTCAGCAGCAACTTGCCCGTCCTCCGCGGCTCCTCATGGCGCTGGCTCAGCTCGTAGTCCTGCAGCGCCTCGTGCAGCAGGTCCTGCAGCTTCTGGACTGCCTCCAGGTCCTCGATGTACATGGAGTCTGTGGGCACATGGGTGAGTGTCAGCGGGTGTGGCTGGAGAGCACTGCCCCGGGGAGGGGGTGGGGAGGGGAGCTCCCATGGTCCTGGGCCTCTGCTTTGGAGCCTTCCAAATCCTCACTATACAGAGAAGGAAACCCAGGCTCAGGGAGGATACACTGCCAGTCTAAAGTCACAGAGGCCAATGACAGAGCTGGGCTTCACATTCAAGGAGAGACCTCTATCCATGGAGGACTTGAGAAACCGTCAAGAGGTGGCAGTGGAGACCCTGAGTGGAATTGCAACCTTGCATCCCTTACTTGCTAGCTGTGTGACTTTAGGAAAGCTATTTAATTTCTCCGTGCCTCATTTATAAAATGAAAGAATGCCTACCTCAAGAGGTTAAATGAGTTAATACAGATCAAGAGCTTGAAACAGCTTAAACTTGTCACAGATTAAGTGCCCACCTAGTGATATCACTACCATTGTCATGACCACCACCACCACCAACACCACCACATTACCACCACCACCATCAGCCATCATCATTACCACCACAATCACCACCATCATCACCTTCATCATCATCACCATCACCACTATCACCATCACCTTCATCATTGTCACCACCATCACCTTCATCATCACCCCCACCATCATCATTGCCATTAACCATCATCATTACCACAGCCACCACCATCATCACCACATCACCATCATCACCATCAACCACCACCATTGTCACCACAACCACCACCATCATCATCTTCATCATCATCATAATCACTCTCACCATCAGCAGCAGCAGTACCATCAGCACCGCCATCATCACAGCTATTACTGCTGCTGGTGCCACTAGGCATTAGCTCAAGTCTTCAGTGAATTCACTAACCTTACACAGATAAAGGGGCTGAGCTCTGTGTCTGGGTGCCTTGAGGTGGTGGACACAGAGGAACTCAGATAGCATGGCTGGACATCAAGGAACAGTGGTGGAAGACACTTAGGAGTTCTATAAAATTCTGGGGAAAGCTTTGGACTCAGATCATGAATTTCAAATGAAATTTACCTAAATCCCAACAGTGCAGGGAGGCTCCTGCTGACAGCTGGGTTTTACAGTTGGGTCTGAGCCGAAGCAAAGCGGAATGTACTTCCTGGCCTCGAGGGAAATAACCAGCCTTCCTCTGATGTTCCTTAAAGATACTGAGCCACTCCCTGTACTGCAGCATCCAATACCTCTTAAAGGTGGGAGGGGATGGGTGCACGTGAATCAAGTGAACTGGAAGCTCTGGGTGGGTCACAGAGGAAGGCTGAGCAGAGTTTCCTGAATTCCTCAAAAGAGCAGGGCAATTCCTTTGCAAGCTGGGTTGGTTTAGATACCAGACTGCCAAGGGCAGCAGCACCAAGTGGCTGACCCACTGACTTCCTCTGAACTTCTGGATCCACACTCAGCCCATGACTCCAAGGGTCCTATCTCTTTCTCTTGAGAGAATAGCAATAGAATGAGGTGGATGAGGCTCTGGAGTCTTAGATGCTCTGTGACTTTGGCCAAGTGACTTAAGCTCTCTGAAACGGTTTCCTCAGCTATGAAACAGAGCAAATAAGAGTGCACACCTCATTGGGTGATGGTGAGGATTAAATGAAATAGTTATCAGGCACTTAGTAGGCATCTAATAAATGCTACTATTATTGCCAGGAGGGCTCAGACTGAGGGCAAATGCCTTGCAGGGCTGGCCCCATACCCAAGACTCCTCCACATTTTTCTGCCCCTTGTTACCAAGGTGATGAGGACTCCTCCTTTGCTGGTGGGGATGAAGCACGGCTCCATTCCTACACTCTTGGCTATTTCCAGAGCGTGCCCCTGAGATGCACCTGGCCGTCCAGACTCCCTGCCTCCCCCCAGCTTCCTCTCCCCATTCCCCGACCCTCCCCAAGGAGGCCAAAATTGGCAGCTGCCTTCAACCAAAAATGAAATAAAATAACATTGCAAGATTAATTTCTTTGCAATCCATCAGCGAGTCTGTATTGATGGCATTGATAAACTGTTAATTACAAAATCAATGGCTATGAATTTTTTCTGCTGTCAAGGAGCCTTGGAGAGGCTGGGAGGTGGGGTGAGAGATGGACAGCAGGCTCCCGAGGGGCTGTGGTTTGGGGCCACAGCCTCTGACGTGCTCCCATCCACTCCACCTCAGCAGTGGCACCCACGGTGGCCCTTGGGGCTGCCACCAAGACCACTCCAGTCATCTCCTGGGCCCTGTCTCTCCTCTAGCTAACACGCTGTCTGCCTGGGTGGATTTCCTACCCTGCTGCTGGGGACAGGTCTCTCCCCCACAACCTTTCATGGCTCCCTCTACTGACTCCATGAGACCCTAATCTCGTCACAATCCTGGAGCCTGGTCTGACCCCAACAACCTAACCTCCAAACAGGCCTGTTCTTTCTCCATTTCCTGCCTGAATCTGATTGCTCCACCATGCAGCCGAGGCCTTACACATTACCAACTCCTCCTTCTCCACTTGGAGCTCTTGTACCCGCAGAGCTGCAGGACAGCCTGGTAAATGCCACCGGGGCAAGAAGTCCAGGTTCTGAGGATCTGTCTTGCACGACAAAGTGTGTACTCAGGCAGAGCTTGACGCTCGCTGCCGCTCCTGTTGGGCTCTGTTGGTCCTCAGGCGCTTTGTATGTGTCCGTGTGCCTGTGTGCGCGTGCACACATACGTGTGCCTGCCTCTGTGTGTTGCGATCAGGGCAAGAACAGCTGGCCGAGCTGAAGAGTCCTCTGAGAGCCCCTGCAGCTTGGCGCCTACGGGTGGGTGGAGGCGACAGGGTGGCCTCCCACCTTTTCACTCTCCTCTCCTGGCACGGGCAAGTGTGAGCTCTAGGTCTCGTGAGAAGTGGTCAGGAGAGTCCAAAATCAAGGATGTGTCCTCCAGGGCCTGGCCAGTCTTGCTGCGCCTCGCTGTGCTCACCCCCTGTCCTCTGCTTCCACTGGTTCCCTCTCCTCCTCTGCACATCCAAATTCCCAGCCCCTCTGCAAGCACTGCAGAGGGGTTACCCTGCTTCCCTCTGAATAGGAGAGCGCGGGGAGGGTGTGAAACACATCCTCATAGCGTGTAATGATGGAGATCTGTCATTGTGTTTGTCACAACCCACAGAACGGTACAAACACAGAGTAAACTCTGAGGGCAACCGTGGGCTTTTGTTAATAATAATGTATCAACATTGGCTCATGAATTGCAACAAATTACCATACCAATGCAAGATGTTAATAATAGGGGAAATTGTGGTCAGGGGCTGGGGACACGGGTAGGATGGTATGTGGAACTCTATGCCCTATCTGTCAATTATTTTGTCCATCTGAATCTCTACTGAAAAAAAACCCCAAAAGCCCAACAGTGTTAGCATTCTCCAACAAAGAACACAGTACAATTTTAGAATCCTACGGTATGTGTGAATGGTCTCTATAGAAGCATGTAAAAATTTTAATTCTTATTTTGCATTAGTTTTTTAATAAAAGAGATTTGAACTAAAAAAAAAACAGCTTCCCTCTGTGTATTAGGTCAGGTTCTCTGGAGACAGACCCCTAGACAGGGCTTTGGGTGCATGGGACTTGTGGAGATTCAGGAGGCAGGAAGGTGGAGAGGCAGGATAGGGCAAGGGTGGGAGCAACCAAAGTAAGGAGGTAGCCTCGGCTTGGGCTGGATCCCATGCCAGGGGTCCAACCCTTTGTTCCCCTGTGTGGGTCCCCCATCGGCTGGAGGTGCCAAGGTGGGGCGGGTACTAATCCTCCAGGCAAGGCAGGTGAAGGTAGGTCTCTTGTGAAGGGGGCGGGGGGCAGCTGTGAGCTATTAGCAGCAAGATTCCGCAGCTGGGGCACAGGAGCACTAACCCAGTAAAGGGGGTCTGACTTGGGCATCAGCATCCGCAGGGCATCAGCAGCATCCCCTGCATTCTCTACAAGGCCATTTGTTAGGGGACCAACTGTCCCAGTTTTCCAGGGCCTGAGGTTTCCTGGCACATGGAACCTCCAGTAAAAGTGTGACAGCAGCAAGCAAACCGGCTGGTTACCCTGTTTGTCCTGTCTCCACCAGGAACCAGCTCTTCCTCTTCCATATGCTGGTAACACTTGTTTCCTCTAATATTCATAATATTGATCACATTTATTGAACACTTCCTCTAGGCCAGGCACCAGGCTAAGTGCTTTATATTCAGTTGATCATTTCAAACAAAAGTGCTTGGAAGAGGAACAGGGATATCCCCACTTTACACACAGGACAGAGCTAAGGAAGATTGCCAACTGGCCCAAGGTCACACTGCTACTAAGTGCCAGAGCTAGAATTTTAACTTGGGTCCAAGCTGAACTTGACTCAGACTTGAACAATTAATGACTGCATGCCGCCTGGCAGTGGAATTATGTGTATGCATGCTTGACACCCTCCCTTGCACAGGGACCCTGCCTTTCTCCTTCTTCTGCAAGCTTGACCCCTGCCCCAGCTCCTGGCCTATACCTGCAGAGGGTGGACACCCTCTAAATGTGGATACAGGTTACATTCAGGCTCATTCACCTGTGTTACCAACACCAGCCCCTCTCTCCAAATAGTCTAGCCAGAAGTTGGTTGGGGCTAAAGAAATGGAGTGAGGCCCCCTTTTTAATGCCAGGAAAGGTTTCTCTCTTGGGCCTGAGCAATTTGAGTGGGAGATTCAAGGAGTGGGTATAGGCTTGCAGTTGATTCTGGAATTAGAGGACCTTGGTTCGAGTCCTAGGGCTGACCCTCTTTAACTGTGTGACCCTGGGAAATTTGTAAGCCTCGGTTTCCACATCTGTAAAGTGGGGTTAAAATAATAACTTTGCTCATAGGGTTGACTGTAAGATGAAATCAGTTCGTGGCTAATTGATTTACCTTGGTTGAGTACTTATCATGTGCCAGGCATATTGTAAGCATAGTGATATATAGATGAATCCCTTCATAGTTTTGTTGGGTAGAGATGGTTTATGGTCCCCATTTTACTGATGGAGAGACTGAGGCAGAGTGAAGTGAGGCACAGATTTGTCCAAGTGGTAGAAGCAGGATTTGACTCTCAGCGACCTGGCTCTCGAATCTGTGCTGTTAACCCTTGTGTTCATCTGGTCAGTAAGGCTTGAGGAATACTCAGCCAGTGCCAGGCTTCACCACCATCTTTTCGATTCTGCACCCCCCCATCCCTTGCACAATCTTCAATGACAAAAAGAACCTCAGTGTCTTCACACCATCCCTGCCTCTACAGCAGCCCTGCTCACAGGCCAGAAGCTGTGCCTCCCACCGCCTCCCCGGCCCGGAAGCGCCCCCTGCAGGCCACACTCCCGCCCTTACCTGAGTTGGCCAGGGCCAGGGCCTTCAGCGTCACAAACTCCTCCTTCTCCACCTTGAGCTTCTTGTACCTGCGCACCAGCTGCAGGATGGCCCGGTAGAGCTCCAGCAGCCCCGCCAGGCGGGAGTGCTCCTCGTCCATGATGTAGTCCTCGGCATACACCAGCTTGTCGTCGTAGGGCAGCGAGCGGAACACGATGCCCAGGATGAGGATCTCCATCCAGGCGCTCTGCAACAGGCTCATCTGGTCCCCCAGAGAGAGGCTGGAGAAGCCTGTGGGAGGGGGCACGTGGGCAGCCACGGTCGGGGGCGGATCAGGGGTCCTCGGGCACCTCCAGATCCTGCCCCGCCCTCTTTCCCTCCGGACTCATTGTACTTCCCGTGGTGAGTGAGTCAGACACGGAATTCGTAGAAGAGACTTACGTAACAGAACTCGGTCAATGCTGACTGTTGCTACTATCAGTACTACCGTTAGTCCCATTGTATTTTTCAAATGTCTGGAGAAGCTCTTTGATTCATTAAACGCATGTGTAGTTTTAGGAGTTACTGAATTCATAGCAGAATCAGGAGGTGGCAGTACAGGGTCCTGTCCACTCTGAGGAGTTTCCAGGTCTCCCTCTCTGCTCGAACCAGGGGCGGCTTTTGGTGTTTTAAAGTGACATCTGATCCTCAGTGCAGAGTCTCAGCTGTGCCGAGACCCGGGCGCTCAACCAGGAAGGAGTCAGATGCTCCCGGCCAGTGACCTCCAGTGACCACAGTCCAGGACTGCTAAGAGCTCAAGGGCCCCCAGGTCAGAGGCCACCTGTCCTCCCAAGGGTCAGACCCTGCTGGCCCGGCCATCACTCTCCACCTAATGATGACCCAAGCAGTCCTATATTCTGCAAGCTTGGATCATGGGCGTTCCCCTTCCCTACTAGCAAGGAGGCTGTGTCCAGAGTGAAAGGAGGTTGGCGGTGGGGACGGCTCCAGAATTATGACACTGTCTTGTTCACTGGAGATTGCCTGGTATGGAATCCCGGCTCCTCATTTACTACTTATAGGCTGACCTTGTTAAGAGCTGTACTCCTTCCCCAAACCTCAGCTTCCTCATCTATGAAATGGGTATAATAGTAGTGACTGCTTCAGAGAGAGCAGTGACATATAAATGAGACAGTGACTATAAAACATGCAGGACATTTACTGAGCTCTTATTATTATTAATGATGAGATGACAGTCTTCTGCAAAATGAGAATAATATACTGGAACTGTATTATATAGGCACTCAGGTAAACTCATTAAAATATTGATTTAAGAGAAAAGGGAAAAAAAGAAAGGAAGGGAGCAGGTAGGGAAGCAGGGAGGGAGGAAGGCAAGGAGGGAGGAAGAAAGTTGATTTTCAAATATCTTGGTCACTAAACACAAGGCAGTATGTTCAACCAGAAACTCCATGATGGTTTCAACACTGACCAGGCCAGATGAACCGAAAAGGAAAGTTATCCACCAAGCCGTTTGCACCATGCGCCCATCACAGACAGCTGAAATTAAGGAATCTCCGGGGTAATTTCACTGATGTAGGACTATTTACTTCACTTGCTGACCTAGAACCTAACCCGGCTTGGATGTGGTGTTCTGATGCGGGTGTGGTAAGATGGCGCGTGGGAAGCACTTAGCATCTCCCTCTACACACGCTCAGCAAACCTGAACTAGGAAGGTGGTGATGGCTGGAGTCATTACTATTACTGCCATTGTTGTTGTTAGCATGCTATTGACATGACTTTCTTCTCCGCCACCAACTGAAGGCCTGGGGTGGTCCCAAGCCTCTGGTCTGGCCCAAGGCTCTGGGTTTCCGTGAGGTCTATCCCACCCTCATCTGCTGTCCTCTGTCTAAAAGCCACTGTCCCTCCCCATTTCCAACCAATGCAACCAGTGTTCAACTTTACGGCGTGTCCAGGGGATGCACCCTTTGTGCGGCAGGTCCTCTTTCCCAGCAAACACATTTTTGATCTGACCACCTCGATTAGCAGGCCAATCTGTACAACCCGCACCTGGGATCACCGCCTGGCTGCTGGCATCCCCGCATCTGATCGCCCACAGAGCTGGCGCAATGATACTGACGACATGGGGCAAGCCTGGATTGATGCACCTTCTCGGGGAAGAGGCCAAGGCACAGAGGGGTCAGGTGCACATGTGTTGTTGTCCAGATCAGTGTGGGAGAGGGTGTGTGGCTGCCTGTGGCAGTGGGGAGAGCCGGGAGGTAATGAAAGATAGATAGAAATGGACATCCAATTTCCCTTATCGGGCCTCTGAGCGGGAGAGGCCTTGGGCGACATTAATTAACAGATACCAATCAGCCAGCACAGGAGGGTGTGTGTGCGGAGGGACGTGTGGGGCTGCACTGGGGGCGGGGGTCTGAAGGCAGACAGACTGGGAGGGAAGGTGTAGGAGGTGAACGGGGCAAAATTAATAGACAATTGAATTGGAAGGTGGCAGGGGGGAGGGGTGTAGGAGTGAGGTTTCTGGAAACGAAGGAGAAAAGCCTCGTGGGAAGCTAATTACTAGAAGAGTGTGAACAGCACGCTCCGGGCCCCTTCATTCATTCCAGATACTTACTGAGGATCTACTAAGTGCCAGGCCCTGTGCTGGGCATTGGGGACAGAATGACTGGCTCAAACCAGAACCGGTCGCTGCCTTCGAGAGCTCAGTCAGGAGGGAAAGACACACCCCAGGTGACCACACGGCCCCACGAGGTTACAGCTGTCAGAAGAGCTACGGGGAGATGGAGGGCTCTGAGAATTCACAATGGCGGAAGAGAAAGTCAGTTCGGGGGACTTCGCAGAAAAGGAGACTTTGGGGCTGAGCTCTGAAGGGTGAGGTGGGGCCCTGACCAAGCACTGGGCCTGGTGCAAAGAAGGTGCCCCATGAACATTCTGGGCACAGAGGACAAAATGGACAGATGCCACTGGGCCAACTCCTCGGTGATGAGACAATGTGCCAAAAGAACTCGTTTAGACCCTCTTAGTCATTTAGACCGGAGTCCAGATTTAGCTGCCTTTGCTTATTGTGTCTGAGTCAGAGACAGGCCTGCAGGGCGGGTGGCGGGCGGAGGGAGGCTCGCCTTGGAGATGTGGGGCCACCATTGAGGATGCAGCTGAGACCTGTGTGCACACCCCTCTGCTAGGCTGATCTGAGGAGACTTGGCCCCTGACTCCTTTCTAAGAATTTCTCCTAGCAACCACACAAAGATAAATGTGAAAAGGGCGTTTGTTAGATCCACTTGTAATGACCCAAAACAGGAGACAACCTAAGTGTAACCAATGTGATACATGCACTTATTATATAAATGTACTTCTTAGCAGATGAATGGCGTATCAGAAGCCACTAGAAAGAATGAGGAAGAACTATTTGTGTGGACGTGGAAAGATACCCAAGAGCCCAAGGAGGACGAAGCTGTTAAGGGCACAGATGCCAGAGCCAGCCTGTCTGCTGGATTCCTACCTCTGCTGGCCACTGGCTGTGACCCTGGGCACGGTTTCTGTGCCTCAGTTTCCTCATCTGTAAAATGAGGATAATAATAGTACTTATCTCATGGAGTTTTTTGGATTAAATGAGCTAACGTGTGGAACACTCAGAACACGGCTTAGCTTACTAGTAAATCCTACTATTTTATACAACCAAAGGAAAAAAGCAGTGCGTAAAGCACTGTTATAGTATGAGCCATGGTGGGTAGGGACAAAACACACACACACACACACTGGCTATACCCATACAGGACTTTCCCAGAATGATGCTTAAGAAAGAGAGAGGATTTGGAATGCACAACTTCCACCCCTCAGCCACATCTTTACTAGAAGCACAAATTCTTTCTTTCATTAAACCCAAACAAAGGGGCTGAAGCACTCCTCCCTAGCCTTCAGCAGTGCATGCTTCACTTCTGCATTTCTGTGCTGGGCTGGGTCTCTGCCTCCATCAAGTGATCAGCAATTCTGGGGCAGAGGGGCTGCTGGGAGAGGCTGCACGTGGCCCGTGACCCTGGGAGTGCCCCAGCTGGATGCTCACGGCCCTCTCTTCCTACCTCTCCCACCTTGAGCTCTGCTGCCCCTGGAAAGTTACTTTATCTGTACCCACTGATCTAATAACAGTCAGGCTCTTCCTAAGCCCCCATCCCCCAGCGATTTGATGGCTGAGCTCCTAGAATTAAAAAAAAAAAGGGCACATAATTTGTGGCAAGTGGAGTTCATAATCTGTTAATTTATTATCGTTTCTGTCGACCTGGAGGGCCATTAGCAGAGGTAATAAAGGGAGATGTAATTATAGGATCTGAGGCCACTCCAGACACAGCTGCTGTCACTCGGCAGCCCATATTTCATTGGCCACTGGCGTTCTCTCCCCAGCGTGAGCCAGACGCTGGCTACCTGGAAGCAGGGCAGCTGAGGGACCCCCTGGTGAGGAGGCCTCTGGGGGGGTCCCCTGCAGAGGCCGTGCACAAGTCAGCCTGGGCCGTGCAGGCCGGAGGTGACGCACCAAGGGCGGGCAGGAGGAGGCGGTCCTGGCTGGGGTACCCTCGGGGCTGCCGGGGGTGGGGGAGGATAACGGCTAATAACATCTGGAGGCTGCAATTCATCAAGTGATGCTCACTGCTTGTGAAAGGTTGTTGCCTCTTGTTCTAATCTCCCGCTCACGGGGAACGAGAGGTGGACACTCTATAAAGACTTAGGCTTATCCCTGGGCAACCCAATACTTGGGAAACTCAAGCCTGTGTTGGGGTGGCCAACTTCAGACTGACTCCAACAAAGAATGGCTGCTATTCTGAGGGAATCACAATCAGCCCTTGCAAAAGTGTCCTGTGTTCAAAAATATGGAGGAAAGGGATGGGAGAGCTGTGATCGAGTTCATGATCAAATGATCCTTCCGTCCAGCTAAGCTGGTGGCTCATTGTACAGCACATAGTGCCCTTCTGGACTTTTCCTCCAAGGTCCCTGCCCATCTATCCTGAAGCCTAACATATGCTCTACTCTCTCCCCCGAAGACCATGGCGTCCCTCCCGCCTCTGCGCTCCATCCTGTGCTTCTTCCTGCTGCATTCTAAGCATCTGCCTTTTCACGTGTGAGAAACAGGAGGCGGGAGACGGGTGGGTAGAGAGGAAAGAAGACTGGCTGTGGTGGGTATAACTGTTGAGCTGGGTAATGGAGGTTCACTACACTATTTGGCTTACTTTTGTTTGAGATTTTCCACGAAAAACTTTTTTAAAAAATTATTTATCTTATTCCCAAATGAGACCATTAGGGTAAAAATTCATCAAATCCTTTGGATCAGCCACAACTCCTCCTTACATACAATTAATTCTCAATAAGCGTATGCAAAAGCAAGTATGACACACTCTCTGTGTGCCAGGCTCTGGACTAGAGGCTGGATGATACTGAGGCATGAGATGCAGTTTCCTCTGCCTAATTCAGGGCAGTGGCTTGGGCTCCACTCCAGAGCTCTAACCTGAGCCGTCTTAAGAAGCCAGTCCTTCTGTCTGTCCAGAAACCAAGATGGACAGGAGCTGACACAAGTCCCAGGGTGGGACCCTGGCTCTCATCTTCTCTACTCAATCTGCCCTCTTGCTCATTCTTTCTCTTTCTAAGAGCTAGTGAGCAGGTCTTCAGATGAGTTTTCCATCTAATCTGAGATGGGATTAAGTCGATTAGTTTAACTGTATCAGGCACTTGATTATGTCATCACCCTTAATATGAGGTTTACATGCAGTGGCAGGAGACCTTGTTAATTAATTTTACCTTAAACACTAGAAGGTCAGGCCCAAATAATCCAGCATGCAAATTTATGCAAAATAGGCAAATTAGCATGAGATAGACAAATGAGCCCCTATGTTTATTTTATTTTTTAATCAAAAAGAATTCAGCTTTGGACAAGGAGAAATGATGATATTAAAGGAGGCTTTTAATACTATTAGCAATGACCACGGCCGCAGTCACGGTCTCTGCCATTTATCCAGCGCCCACTGTGTGGAGGCTGGGCTGAGTGCACCATATCCTCCCAGTAACCCAGTGACGGAGGCTCTATTACGAGTCTCATTTCAGGTGGGGGCCCTGAAAAATGCAGTATCTTGCACAAAGCCAGTAAAGATAGTGCTGGGATGAGAGCACAAGTCTGCCTGAATCCCAAGTCTGTACCCTCAGCAACCATTCTGCTCTGCCCACTGCCCTCTTGGTTGGGCACAGACAGGAGGTGGAGCCGTTAGGTGGGAAGGAAAATGGATGCAGGGGAGGCAGTGCCTCCTGGTTGGACTCCACCCCTTGGGAGATATCATGGGTGGGGTAGGGGGTGGGTAGAAGGAGGCAGTGACCCAGGAGCCCCACCAGGAGCCACTCCTGAGCCATTGCTATGATCCAGTATCTGCTGAACCCGGAAGAGGAGTATGTGGTGGGAAGGGGTGTGTGTGGGCAGAGCTGTGCCCTATTTGGCCCTGGGTTAGTAGAGCAATCCGGGCTGAGGTGTCTTAAGCAGTGGCCTGACCCTACACCGGTGCTGAATCAGCACAGGGCAGATTGAAAAACTACTGAGTGTGTAATCCCAAGAGGCTGAGCTCCTTAGTAAGGGCGCTCCAGCCCAGATCCCCAGGGAGCGCACCCCGAGTCAGGGAGTCCCTGTGGAAGAAATCCTAGGCTTCCGCCAGCTGAGTGACACTAACACCCACTCTGAGCCATCGTCCGCAGGAAGGCTCCTTCCTGTATGTTAGCTGTGCACAGAACATCTTATATAAGGACTTTCTGACTTGCCTCAGTCAACTGTGAACTTTGGCATCTCAAGTCTAGGACACCTTTGCTACATAACCAGGCATGCTGTATTCATCCTTCACAGCCGGCGGCCAACACAAAAAGGATCTACGGACAGGAAGATAAACTGTCGCCTGACGCATAGCTAGAAGAATCCGAGTCCACAGCGGGTCATTGCCAGAGGAGAGCAGGATGTCTCCAACATGCTCTGAGCCAAGCTGTTAGAACTGTCAAGGAATTAACTGCACAGACCTTAGAAAGCTCCCCAACCAGGGTGTAATGCAGAATATGTGGGTATCGGCATCTAAAAACCAAATTAAACATCAGCCCCCTCCCTATATCCAGAATGAAAAAAGCTCCAAGAGGGGCTTGGAGCCACATGCAATGAAGGGGAGTCCATATCACTTGAAACATGTTCATTACATGTACTTTTTATGCCAGAAATGATCTTAAAATCACAGAATCCAAACTAAAAGACAAGCTTCCCTTAAGACCAGGCAAGTGGCAGTAGCAAGCATGCAACTGATGTCAGCAGGTGCCAGAAGCATCACACACATGCTTGCATTTTATCCCCACATCAAAGCCCAGAGAGGTTAGGTGACCCACCCAGGGTTGCACAGAGAGCAAGTTGCAGACCCAGAACTTGAATCCCAGCCTCATTACCCAGCCCATATTCTTAACCACTCCACGTTACCGTCCTCTAATAAGAAGCAAGAGAGTCAGTCCCTCTTCTGTGTTGTTTTCCAGCAAATTTCCAATAAGGTCTATGTGAAAACCCTACTCTTTGGCCTTTAAGAATCCAAAGACCTTGCTTTGATTATTACATAGTGTAGAAACAATCGTAGCCCCACTAGAATGAGAACCAGTTCTGAAGAGCCCCCAGCAGCTCAGGAATATTACTGGACGTTCCAAACACCTGCTCACTTCCAATCCCACAAAGAACAGAGCCCAGATTAAAACAGGATTGCCAAGGTTCCACTGGGCTCCTGGGTCCCGGGCTCCCATGCATCAGGACCAGAGACGTGGGGAAAGTGGCTTCCAGTCTCTGACTACACTCTTCCCCAGGTCTTACGGGACTCACCTGGGATGTGCTTGGCCCAGCCAATGATGACCACGAGCTCCCTGTCCGCCAGGTCACAGAGAGTGGTCAGAGCCTTGATGTCACCCTCTGGCATGCCGGGGGGGGGCATGGCGTAGAGTTTGTCCGGCTCAGCCACCAGCAGGTAGGAGACAATTTTAGTCACTGCAATGACCAAAGGGAGAATGTAAATGCTGGGAAAAAGAGGAAAGGGGCCAAGGTGGAGTCTGGGATGGTTCAGGAAGGAAAATCAGGCTCCAAGGAGCCCCAGGAAGGTCAGACATGGCTAGAATCTCCCCTTCCTTTCTGATGCCGTAAAGTTGCTGGCTGTTGGGAAATATCCTCCAAGGTAAGTTGCCCAGTGAATTCTTTAAAGTGGCATCTGCTTTGGGTGGGAGGTGAGGGGGCATGCTCTGGATGCTGGGCCCGTGCCTTCTTAGGACCATGCTTCATTGGGAGCCATGTTCTATAAACCCCGTAGGAAAGGCCTTCTGAATGAAGCCTGAAGTACCCGACACCAATGCCAGACGCTGGTGCTTCTCTCTGTGACCCCCTCAGTGCCCCATAACCTATCATGCAAAGACAGCATTTCCCCTAAAAGGATGCCAGATGTTCCAGGGACAGATGCTAGCAAAAGGGGTGTGGACTGCCCTGCACTCACAGGGCTTTTTAGCAGGAGGAGAAATCTGCAAGCTCAGGTACGGGCTGCTTTCTGAGTCCAGCCGTCGCTTGTATTTCTGGCGGCCTCCACGTACTCGGTCAAGGCGCACACCTGTTGGGGAGGAAAGGGGGAAGGTCTCGGGGTTATTCGCAGACATCACCAGGAGTGTTAACACTGACTTTGGAATTTCAACAATGGCTAAATCTTTTGGGACTAGCCCAGATGGCCTTTTATAGCTGCCTGAGGGCCAGCCTCAGGCCAGGTGGTTGGACAATCCTAAAATAATTGTCTTCAGTGTAATGGCTCATCCTGGTTGCCCTGAGGCCTGATCCTGACTCTCTGGATTCAGCATCCTCCAGAAATCCATCCCTGGCAACCTTCAGCTGTTAAGTCTTTCAGTCTCCAAAGGCAAAGCACAACAAAAGCATACTTCCAAGTGTTGGGGAAAGAAGACACATCATTGCAGACCTGCTGTGAATGCAGGCAGGACTGCGTTAGCCATAGGCAGCACCTCCACAGAGCTAAAGCAAAGATTTTCAAACTTTTCACATAAGAAGCATCTAGGTAGGCATTTGTTACAAATGGCAATTTCTGGATCCCACCCTCAGAGATTCTAGGATTCAGTACTAGATAGAGTCTGTCTTCTACCAAAGCCCTCGTGGGATGGAGCACAGGGGGTTCTGGCCACACCTGGGAAATCCACGCCTAGAAATATCTCAGCAGCAGGTGCCAAAGTGGTTGTGGCCACTCCACACTGACACCCATTTCCAGGATTGAGGCCATATCCTAGGGAGACCTGTTTTTGTCACTGGGTCTTATACAGCCCTCAAGAAACCTGCCCCGCCCCAGCTCCTGCTGTCTGGACAGACACGTTGGTACCATTTGCCTCACAGGCAGGGCGGAGAGGGCCTCCAGTGGGCTCCTCAGCCCAGGGTACACAAGCCTATGTGTGGCCACCAACCTATGTGGCCTGACCTGAAAAACTGGGTGGGACCCATCGACTTAGCTCTGAGTGAAAACTAACACGGGAAGCAGAGCGGCTCTCCTTTCCTCACCATGAAGTGGACTAGAACACAGAAGTCAGAACCAGAGTCCCCAGAGGGAGCAAGCTCTGTGGCCTCAGCCTCGGAGGTGACCAGCAACATTCAATCCTCCTCCCTTCCCCAAAGGTCAGCAGCATCATATGCACAGAGACCCAGCCAGTTGGTCTTTAGGCTCTGTCTTTCCCTGGTACTTCCTCCTGAAGTCTGACCATCCTTCCATCCTCCTAGCCCATGGGGGCGCACAGAGGGCAAGGAGGATGCTGTAAGCACACCAAGCCAGGCTGCCCTGGGGGGACGGTCACTGCTCAGCATTTCAGCAGCAGCATCCTTTGTACCCCACAACCCGGCACTTCTGCACCTGATGCGGAACACGGCTGTAGCAAACTTCCTTTTCAGGGAGACAGTCCGCCCAGCATCCCATCCCTGCTTCCTATTTCAAGGCAATTCCCTGTGGGGGTCATCTTATTGGGGAGGCAGCTGTAGCGCCTTCAGCAGGGCAAGGAGGTGGGCAGATGCCACCTCTGTCGCCAACTCCATGTGGAATACTCTGTCCTTATGCAGGGCCTGGCCCTTTGTGGGTGTTCAGGTAAGTCTTGATACACACAGGAATGAATGCACCTCCATCCTTCCAACCCCCATCCAGGCTGGGTGCGTCTTCCTGGGCCCCAGTAACACACTGGGCTTTCCCTACCGACTAGGTGCCCTTAGACCAGGGCTGCTCACCATCCCACTCCAGGGTCTGTCACAACATCCAATACACCACGTGGGTGCTTAGAAAATGGGAGCTGTCACCATGCTCACCACCGTCATCATGACCATCACTTCCCCAGCACTGTGTACACTGCTGGTAAGTCACATTGATAATGAGAACAGCCTAACCTGTGGAGGACTTCCTGGATGTGTTGCCTATTTAATCTACAGCATAGAAAGCAGGTGCTATTCCCATTTTACAAACAAGAAAAACTGAGGCTCGGAGAGATTTAGTAATTGCCCAATAAATTGCGCTCTTTGCTGTTCCGGGTATGACCTCCTAGGGCACAGCAGGTGTAAACTCCCTAAATTTTCTCTGCTACATCTTTACAGTACGATGGTCAATAGCTCCAAACAATAAATGTATCAATTAACAGGTTATTCTGTTAAAAGACAATAGACTTTTGGGTTAGATTATGCACAAATTGATATCTGGCATGAGATATGTTTGCTCTCCTCATGTCCTGTCTGTTTCTCCGAGTCCTACTCAATGCACAAGCCCCAGACGCTCCAGCCCACAGGACCCATCCAGCAAGGTCGCAGGCCCATCTCTGCCCCTTAGGGGTTACGTGGCCTTGGCCAAGTTGTCTCTCACGGCCTTGATCTCATCATCAGACGCAGGGGAGGAGGCAATGGTAATACCCACTCCGCTCCTGCACATGGCTTTCCTGACAAATGGCATAATAGTGGGAAAATGATCGGTAAATTGGAAAGTGGCTTCAGGAGCCAGGTGAAGCCATCTCTCTGTGGTTCTGTGCCTCCACATCCACCTGACACTTCACGTGCCACCTCTGACTCAATGGGCTCTTGGAGGACAGGGCCCAGGTCTGCCCCATTTTCTGAGCTCTCCCTTCCCCCGCACACTGTCCCATGGTCAGGGTTTGCCAATCATCATTTATAGGGTAGAAGGATCCTGGGGCATAGACCTGGGACCCTCAGGCTGGGGGCAGATGGCCCCCCCCATCTAAGTGAACAGCTTGCAGTACTCCCAAAGGCAGTTCACATCCTGCATGCACACTTGAAGGCCCAGTTCAAGTATTATCTCTACTGGGAAGCCCCTCCAGGCAACCCCTGGCGGAGCTGGCCGCACCCTTCTTGGGTTCCCTTTTGCTCGTTCTCTATTACAGCAACTCTGGTCTAAACGACTCTTCACAATACACTATATGCCCATCTTGTGGGCAACTCCTAGGCAAGGACTTAACACTTATCTTTGCAGCCCAAGCTCAGCACCCAGCCCGTTATCAGTAATCAAGTGTCTGAGTGAAATGATGTGCCCAGTTAAATGAAGCCTTTTGGATTTAGCAAACAGAAGAATCTCGGGATTTGGTCCTTTCCCCAGCTTCCATTTGTCCTTCCAGCCTCCAGAAATTCACTGAGCCCATTTGTCATGAAATTTTCTCCTAGTATTGAGCTAAATTCTGTCTCCAGATCACATCCTACCCTCCACCCCATCCAGCGAGACTATCCCCTCTTCCACAAGACACCCCCTTAAGGACTTGAAAATCCCAGACACCCTCCTTCCATAGCCAAGCATCCTTTATTGTCTACATTTGTTTTTAGGCCAGTCACCTCCTCATTGTCTACACATTTGTCTTTATTTGATGTGATCTTCTCTGCACTGAGAAAAGTCAGCCCCTCAAGGGCAGAGACAGTGGACAGAGGTCTGAATTCCTCTGTACTCTGCTTAACTTCTTCACCAATATGTTTTTATGTTTTCTTCAATATGCTGCTCACAATTTTAGTAAACAAACAGCAGCCTTTCCCCAAAAGGTAATGGTATGGACTGGATTTTCATCTCGAGAGCTGCAGTGATGTATCATGAATTCTTTAGAAGAGGATCACAAAATTCTAACAGTTGGGTCTGGCAGACATGATTAGTTGTCTACCTAATTCTCATTCCATTCCCTCTCTTCCATGCTCACAGAACCTAGATTTTGTTCAGAGAGATAGTGAGCCCTAGCCAGTCCTAGCAATCCTGTTCCCCACTTTCTCAGCTTCTCAGGTAACCAAGGTTGGTCATATGACCTGGTTCTGGCCAATGGGATATAAAGGTACGTCCACAGTGGGGGGCTTCTGGGAATGGTTTTGCTTTTCTGATAAAAGAGACTGACATGGTTGTTACAGCTTTTTGCCTTTCTCCTGCCCTGACTTGGAGGGTAAAGCCCACAACTGTGGCAACCACCTTGCAACCATGAGGCAGTCATGTGAGGACACCAAAGAACACCAGAGAAGAAAGGAAGAGCCCGGGTCCTTGCCATTGTGGCTGGTTTGCCCATGTAGTGCCAGCATTCGCGTGTCTCTGGACTCCTTGTTTGGCAAAGAAATCAGTCTCATTTATCAATGCTTAAGCCACTAGCAGTCAAGTTCTCTGTAACTTGCAGCAGAAAGCAATCTTCGCTGATACAATGCGCAATTACTTTTCAAATTAGGATGCTGAAGTCTTACAGACAGCAAATGGAAAATAATAAAGGAGGGGACTTGAACCTGAAATGAGTGTTGCCTTGTTGTTTATGTCCTTATATTAGCGAAATGTCTAAAAACTAGGCTCAGGGAGCATATTAAAATACTAATTAACTTACAATTACTGTCCAGGATGATCAGATTGTATCACCTTATCGATAGTTTCTGAATTTAAAAAAGCATCAATAATACTCTCATGTAAATTGTGCCAGATCTCCAAATACTATAATAAATACTTATCCTTTGTGTTCACTGCTGTTCAACACGGTTTAATCCCTCAGTATTTAAGTATTCATTAGCATGTCATGAGTACTAAAAAGAATGCATGTACCTATGCAGACTGAGTCCTTTAGCTGAGCCCAGGACCAGATAAGGACCTGTCCCCCTTCTTGGTCAATATAGTAATCCCCTTAAATCTAATAGACACACGTATAAGCAGAAGTTCACCTCTACTGACCAGTTGTTACCTGGTGCTGCCCCTGCTCTAAGCAGTGTAGGTATATTACTTCACCTCAGGATTGCAACAACCCTCTGAGGGAGCTTCTATTATTATTCTATTTTACAGATGGGGAAAGTGAGGCTAAGAGAGGTAGAGTAACTTGTCAAAGCTACATAGGAAGGGATGCATTCCGATTCCAGATCCCAGGCTCTCCACCACTCTGTCTCCTATGTCATCCTATGTCTCTCAAAGAGCTCAGAGTCTCTGTGGTAGAAGAAAGGCAGCAAAGAGACCCGGGGCCAGGGGCACATTGCACAACCATGGGGGACCATTCACCTAGAATTCTGTCTCAATGTGCCTCAGAGCACCCTGCTGCGATCTGTGTGGCCTCAGCTGAGAATAGCCTCCTTCTTTGCTGG